AGTCAGTGCATATACAAACTTTAAAATAATGCCCAAATAGACTAAGCACTTCAAAAGTGGAAATCATAAAGTGAGAAAACCGTAATGGTTAGCCTTGATTGATGGGCGTCTTTTCTTCCACCCTGAGTAATTCTTCTTAGTCATCTTAGACTTCTATATTCTGCATGTGTGTTTGTGTTTGAATATGTCCTACATCATGATTTAGCTGCGTAATGCCATTTCTTCTCTGATAAAGATCCCTCCTCTTCATTTTCCTGGTATAGGTTTTTTGTGATATTTACTGAAATCATCATGCACATTTCATGTTTGTGGAACAAACACTCATGTATTGTTTCTATATATCCTATGCTTAAATTTTATTTTTAGGTGTTTTTTTTTCTTATATGAATGGCAATCTTTTCCCCTTAATTAAAAAAAAATGTTATAAATATATCTCTTGGTTCTCTGACAGCTATATAAAGCGTCTCTTGAAATAACCACATAGTTCAATGTCTGTTTCCTGCCTGCATCCCTCCTGGAACTCCATCTCAGCCGCTGTTTCAGTGTATCTGTTCAAGTTTCATGAGAGAATCAGAGCACTGAGAGTGTAGAGGTGTGTAACAAGAGATTTATTACAGAGATTTTACCCTACTCAGGTAGGAGGTTGTTAAATAAATTCTGTAAGGCTGTTCTTTTCATGTCTGATGAAAAGAGAGACACTTGAGGTCTGCAGGGCAAGAAGCTGTAAAGTGAAGATTGATGGAAAGTATTAGAGAGCAAAGACAACATGGAATGCATGAGCTTGAGCTAAAACTTCTGAAGATGAACCTGAGTCTGAGCCAGTTCTCCCAGCCTCCCAGCCTTGTGATGTAACTGACTATCCTGCAGAAGCAGCCAAGGCCTTTCCTGTCGAAAATATACCTGGTCTGGGACTTGGAGATGCCGTTGCAGGCCTAGGAGCTGCCCTGTGACTAACTAAACCAGCTGCTCAAGTGACACTGTGTGACCTGAAGTACCTACTGAGCTTGTGTATAAAAAGCAAAGTAGCTATGGCCTCACTTCTGCTCTCCACTTTTTTTCCCCTTGAAGGTGCTGAGATCAAACCTGCAGAGGTCTCCAGCACCCTAAGACAGTGCCGGCTCTCAGACTGGCATCATCTTCTGGGAGCTCTTCCTGCCTCCCTAGGTTCCTCATTTCTCTCACAGACCCTTCCCCTGATATATTTTTTGATATTTCAAATCCTGCTTTTGTGTCTGAGTCTCAGCATTGCATAGCTGTGTTCTTGGCTGTTTTCCCTCCGACACCATCCTGGGAATTTCCATCGCCTCTTCTTGCAGATCCGCTGTTTCTGGACCTCACCTTTCTTGTTTGCTTCCCTTTTTGGTAGAATGCATCGTCTGCATGGGCGGCAAATTATTGAACCCTTGCATGACTGAAAACTTTATTTCAATCTTACCCTCAAAGGATGATTTGGCTGGGTATGGAATTCCAGCTTGGAAATGATTTTCTCTCAGAATTTTAAACGCATTCTTTATCGTCTAATAGTTTTCTGTGTAAATGTTGTGAAATTCAGTGCCATTTTTGATTTCTGATACTTTACATGTGACCTATTTTTTCCTCTATAGAAGCTATTATAATGTCTAATCCTCCAAACTCTGAAATTTCATGGTGTTATGTTGACATTGCGTTTCCTTCATTGTGTTGGGTGCTCAGTGGTTCCCGCCAGTCTGCGGTTGTCTGTTTTGTAATCTTGTGATATGTTCTTTGATGTTTTTCCTTTTGCTTTTCCTGTTCTATTTCTGAATTCACATTTGTCCCTATAATACTTTGTGCACTGAGCCCCTGTTTTCTTATTTTCTCTTTTTTGCTTTCAGTTAGTTTACAACTTCTGTTTCTTTAAGAAATTTCTGTTTTCACGTGTATTTTTTAATTTCTGGGGCTTCTCCCTCATCTTTGCTCCTTTATTTTTTTACTGTTTTGGATTTATTTTTATGTGTGTATGTATTTTGCCTACATGTGTGTAAGTGCACCACATGTGTACAGTGCCTGCAGAAGCCAGAAGAAGGCATTGAATCCCCTGAAACTGGAGTTAAAGACAGTTGTCGGCCAGCTGGGACCTGAACCCAAATCTTTGCCAGAGTGCTCTTGACCCTGAGCCGTCTCTCCAGCTCCGTTCTGCTCTTTTCAAAGACTCGCATTCAGTTCTTGTTTCATGGATACTTTGCCATTGGAGATAACTACTAATGTATTGTTTTAATTTCTTTTTGGGGGTATTATTATTTTATTGAGCTTTTTAAATTTCATGCAATATTTCCCACTCAAATCCAGACCCCTCCCCCATCAGTGCTTCCCCTTATCCCTCCACCAAACCCTATGCACTGTGCCGTACATGCTGAGTCCTATTTATTCAGGTGTTTGTACCCAAATGTCCTTCAGGGTAAATGTGTCCACTGCAGTCTAGTCAGCCCATCCAGTGGTTGTGTGTAAGTCCTGCTCTCCCCCACCCAGCAGCAGTCAGTCTCAGATAGCTCTGTCTAGTCGGCCCATCCAGTGGTTGTGTGTAAGTCCTGCTGTCCCCCACCCAGCAGCAGTCAGTCTCAGATAGCTCTGTCTAGTCGGCTCATCCAGTGGTTGTGTGTAAGTCCTGCTGTCCCCCACCCAGCAGCAGTCAGTCTCAGATAGCTCTCAGTCTAGCGCTGCTCTGCCGCTGCCTCTCGTTGGAATTCCTTTTTTCATTTCTTTGCTTCTTTCACTTTCTGTCTTGTTTTATTTTTCATATGCCAGTGGATCCTTTTCTGTTTGCTCATATTTAAAGAGTTTTGCCTGGAGTGCTCTGTGCTCCTGATAGAGGTTGGCGCTCAGCGCACCTTTTGATCCTGTGCTCAAGCTGGAACCCACCCCTTTCAAGCCTTCTCACGTCACCTCTGTGAAGCCTGAACCCTGCACACACCTGCTCTTCAGTCTTCTGCTGTCTTTTTTCCTCAGTTTTTCTCCCATCGCTTCATTAACGAGATGCTTGAGACTCACTCATTTATTTACTTTGTCTTCCCCTTTTAGAGTACATACCACTTAGATTTTGGTTTTGTTTTCAGTAATACACTTCAGTTAAAATAGTGCCCAGCACAAAGTGGGCATTCATTCAATAAATATTTGTTAAACATTTACACGTCATTATCTGTAGATCTTTTCTTATGGAATTCTCATTTTGCTCAGAAAATAATTCCTTATCTGGCCTGGGTACTTGGCAGAGTTGGGCAGTGGGATCCATAGAGAACTGCAAGGTGATGTGTATAAGAGTCAGTGCTCTTGTAACTAAGGTGAAGGGAGTTGAGGGTTTATGATTGCATCATACGATGCTGCCGTCTGCTGTCATTTTGCCTCACTCTAGAAGCCCACCTTCTCCAGTCTGTCCAGATAGTAAACCCCTAGCTTTCTGTGAGAGCAGGAAAGGAACCTGGTCAGCTCGAGGCAGGTGAGACTTGAGGGACTAAGGCATGAAGATCTTGAATTCAAGGCAAGGCAATTCAGTGCGTGCTTGTGGCCAATTTTCTTGTTTGCTTGTTGGTTTATTTTTATTGCTAATGGATACTCCTTCTTTAGTACTGTCTGAGCTTCAGTTTCAGAGATGATAGAGTCCAGGGGGCCTCCTTCTCACTGCCTCCTTTCCTCTTCCCTTGTCTCTCACCCTCCTGTCACTCCACGTCTGCAGTGAGCAGAGTGGGTGGAACTGAAGTGTTAGTGAGCACCTTCTCCCCCGGTTTACCACCACCTGTCAGTTTTCATTTCTTCTCCCGTCTCCTTTGCTTCTGTGGATTTGTATAATATGTAAACTGTATTAGAGAATTTATTTTCCGTCAGAATACACAGGGATGTCCCTGTTTTTGGTTGTTATTTATTGATAGTGGATTTGGTTTTGGTTGTTATTTATTGATAGTGGATGGTGGTTTTGGTTGTTATTTATTTGGTGGTTTTGGTTGTTATTTATTGATAGTGGATCACTTCCTAACAACCGTAGCCCAGGATGGACTCAGACTTCCAATTCTCCTTCTAAGTGCTGGAATTACAGATGTGTGCCACCATGCCTGGCTTGATTTTTTTTTTAAGTGATATTCTCTTGCTCACTCTTCTTCTCCCTTAAAACCAGCTAAGCTATCTGTACTGTACTGAACAGGAGTGGAGAGAGTGGACACCCTTGCCTTGTTTCTGATTTTAGTGGGAATGATTTCAGTTTTTCTCTGTTTAGTGTGATGTTGGCTGTGGGGATGGGTATACGTATTTTTAACTATGTAATTACATCTATCCTATCTATTAAATAAGATCCAGAATGCAAAAGTTATCTTCTTTATATCCAGTGATTCTTAGGAATTGGTTTGTCAAGATGCGGGTCAATGGGGACTTTTATAAGATTGATTTCAGTGGTGAGACCCCAATTAAAATGGAAATAAGATGATAGAATAGCAAGTTAGAAAATGGAGACAAAGTTGTTCTATGAATATTGGCTCAGAATTATGATAGGATCTCCAACAATTTCTGAAATAGCCATAAATATCCTTCTATCATTTTGTATTATGTATTTATGCAAAGTGAAATTTTCAGTGTTTGTGACTATAAACTCAAAATGCCAATTTAAGGTATTGAAGATGCTCTATATCTGGACTATCAAATATTCAATTTCTATCTTTAATAAATGGTGAAATTATATATATACACAACAGAATTATTTTAAATAAATTTCTTTATGATATATTTTATTGGTAACTGATTTATATGTTTATTTTGTGTGCCTAATTATCCATGGTCATGTATCAGTTTCTCAGGTACAAAAGGCCACAAGTGGAAAAGGTTTAAGACTCCCTGGTTTAGTGGACCAACTAAAGGTGCCAATTAACTGGTGCTGGTTATTATCATATTGCTATTCTCTCAGTTGGCAAAATTTCAATTTTAATTTTAAAGTACATTCGTTATAAGCTTATTCACAGAGTGAAAGCATATTTTGATTTTTTTTTTTTCTTTCTTGTCAGCAACTTGAATTGGTGGAACCAAGTGGCTGGATTCACGTTCCTCTAACTGACAATCATAAGAAGCCAACTCGTACTTTCATGATACAGATCGCTGTTCTAGCCAATCACCAAAATGGAAGAGACACCCACATGAGGCAAATTAAAATATATACCCCAGTGGAAGAGAGCTCTGTCGGTAGATTTCCTAGATGTACAACGATTGATTTCATGATGTATCGCTCAATAAGATGACTTCAAAGTGGAGCACAAGTTTTACCCTATCGTTGCGTATTGTTTCAATTTTTTAATTGAACAAGTCATACAATTTTGTCTACATTTAAAAGTATCTTAATTTTGATAAATAAACAACTTTTTGGTCATGTTGTCTCTATTTTCCTTGACATATAAGGCTCACATATTTTACATTGCTAAAAACGAATTTGAAGCCAATCTTTATATTCTTTTCCTTTATTAAAAGAAAACAAGTTAAACTAGAAACTTCAAGATGTGCATACTTTTTACCAACGTGGTGGTAATATAATAGTTGTTGACTATTTGGGAACAAAACTGTTTTACTAATATATGTGAATTTTTTAGAGATTAATTTTTCCATGTTTATACTATTAATTTCAAAAAATACACATTACATAACATTTACTATTGTTTATTTCAAGGTGCAGCTCAGTAGTCTTGCGTGTCTTACATTGTTCTGCCATCCCGTCATCTACTTACATTGTTCTGCCATCCCGTCATCTACTTACATTGTTCTGCCATCCCGTCATCTCCACCTTTTCCTCCTGTGAAACCAAAGCTCTACCCCTAGAGTACTGTCTGCGTTCTCACCCGTCACCTTCTGTGCCTGGGCAGCTACCGTTCTCCTCACTGTCTCTATGAATTTGAATACCCCAAATACCTCAAATAGAATTATATAGCATTTGCATTTTGTGAATAGCTTATTTTACTTAGTGTAATATCCTCCAGTTCATCCACGTCATAGCATGTGTCAGAATGTCCTTTTTAAAAAAAGTTTATTTTAAATATTATTTTTTAACTTTTAAAATTATTTCTGAGAATTTCATCCGTGAGTATTGTCTTTGCGTTGTTTCCCTCCCTCCCCATCTTCCAGCAGCTCCTTCCATGTCTGTCCTCGTCTTTGATGATGATTGACGCATATGTATGTTTATAAATATGTATGTATAAATTTATAATAATGTACATATAAATATACATATATATATATATATATATATATATATAAAATGCACTTGGTCCATGTAGTCGTGCTAATGTGTACCTGTATTTAGGGATGTCCACTTGGGATTAGATAACCTCTCAAGGAGCTAGTCCCTGGAGAAAACTGATCCCTCCTTCCGCATACTCTGATTGCTTGTAGCTCTTCATCTAGAGGTGGGACCTGGTGACATTCCCTCCTCCACTTTGGCATGTCAACTGGTTTAGTCATTATGCAGATGTTGTTAAACTACTACACTGTGGGGATTTCATTGATACTGCTTCCCTATCATGCCTGGAAGGTCTAGCTGCACGTGTCTTGTCCCTCTGGCTCTTACATTCTTTCCACCTCCCTTCTGCAGTGTTCCTAAGCCTTTGGTGTAGAAGCGCAGTGTTAGACCTGTCACTTAGGAGTAAGCTCCTCAGAGTCACTTCTTTGCATTTGACCAGTTGCGAACTTTATAATCATCTTCATCTCTTGCAAAAAGTTTTGTTGATGAGTGATGAGAGGTACACTTGTCTGTAAATATAAGGATACCTGTTTAGCATACAGTGAGAAATTATGTTGGTCTAGAGAACTAACAAAATTAGGTTTTTCTTTAGGATGACCTCTCTCCAGCCAGGTGTACTTGCTTATGTAAATGTGTATGTGTCTGGGGGGCAGTATGTGTTTGTGCCCATGGAGGTCAGAGGTGTTGAGTCCCCCTGGAGCTGGAGTTACAGGCAATTGTGAGCCACCTGACATGGGTGCTGGGAATCAAACTCAGGTCCTCTGGATGAGCCATACGAACTCTTAACCACTGAACCATCTCTCTAACCCCTATATATAATTTTTAATAGGACAAGATTAGTTTTTTTCCCTAGAAGAATTTTATTTTTTAAAATACTGGATCTTTTTTTACATAGTGTCAAAATAAATTTGAATTTGGAGAATATAATTGTCTTACCTTTTCTCTTTCATGAAATATCTGTAACTCTGGGGTTGTCTATATTCTGACACTATTGTTAGAAATTGCCGTAATAATTTTGCAAGTGATACTTGTAAGAAGAGACCCAGTTTGTTTCTGTCATAGCATTCTCCACATGTCACATATCCTATGAGCACCTAAAAAGTACCTGAAATTGCTCCTAGTTTAAAGAGCATGGTTTAACAATGACTGCTGAGTCCGTGTTATTTTCACCTTATATCTAATTGGGGTGCGGTGCTTAGCTATAGATCTTGCCCTTATTTAAGAAAGATTGCTCGGTGCTTCATGCAGTGCAGGTGGATGTACATTTAAAATAAGAATGTTGACAAACCTCGTGTGCTCGCTTCAGTTTATACTCCGCCAGAGATACTTGGATACTACTGAGAAATGGTTTCACGTTTTCACTCCTCGAAAGCTCCTCTGAGTTCTAGAGTTTACTTTTTTTTTTTTTTTTTTTTTTTTGCCTTGTTTTGTTCTCTTGGAACTAAAAAGCATCTTAGGTGATCTTACTTGGAACCCCAAATTAGGTAGAAATAAAGATGCAGGATGCTGGGTAGAGCAGACAGGACTGAAGGGAAAAGCATGAAGGACTTAAGAAAGAATCAAGGAAATGAGAATGGAAGTATGCACTAGGCAAGTCACACCAGTAACAGGAGCTTGGTTCAGGGTCAAGAAACATCATTTTAAGAAGTACAAAAGGTTAGTTTTTATTTTATGTTCATGAGTGTATTGCCTTCATGTATGTAAGTGCACCTGTGTTGTGCAGTGCCCACGGAGGTCAGAAGATGCTTCATATTCTCCTGGAACTGGAGTTACAGACTGTTGTTAGCTGCCATGTGGTGGGTGCTGGAAATTGAACCTGGGTCTTCTGCAAGAGCAGCCGGTGCTCTTAACTGCTGAGCTATCTCTCCAGCCCTGCTGATTACTTCTTAAAAATTTACTTAAGAGAGGAGAGGAGGAGTTACTGATGACTTGCTAATCAGTTCCTAAAATTGAGAGGAATTAAAGAGTCTTACAGGGCTTGTACTGAGTTCAATATTGTATAACTGTATTAATTCAATTGTGATCCTAAAAAGTTACAGCCACTTTTGAAAGATGTATTCTTGCTCTGGAGTATGTTATTGAATATGTTAAAGCTGTAATGAAATGCTTCTTCTATCATGTGGTTATTAAATTTTTAAAAATTAAAAAAAAAGTATTGAGAAAGTCTGTCTTCTACTTTTACTCTATTTTACTTTTATTTTTTGAGAACGGATGTCATGTAACTCAGGCTGGCCTTGAACTTTCTGTGTAACTGAGGATGTCGTTGAACTCCTGATCCTCTTACCTCCTGAGTCCTGGGATCACAGACTATGTACTACCATATCCAGCTTTGTGAGATCAAGCCCAGGGCTTCATACATGCTAGGCAAACACTTTCCCAACTGAACTATAGTCTTAACCCCATTTCCATATTTTTCATATGCTAGCACACTGACCGTTTTATTAGGCATGAAAATTTGGTAGCCAAGGATTATGGCGATAAAGCATTGCTTTATTGTAAGAAGTTTGAAATTCATATAGACCATGAATTACATTACTAAAGCCTAACTAGCAAAGCAGTTTCCTACCCTCATCCTTGCTTAGACAAACTTGTTTGCAGTGGGTGACCATCATGTGGAGACCCATACATAATTGGTCATTGTGAGGAACAAGTGACTGTTGAGTTTTCTGCCCTAAATAGGACATCAGTATCATCCCTCCAAGGCTCACAGACATCACAGAAGAAGAGATGGAAAGAATGTAAGATAGGAAGGAGTGCTCTATGATGCTGTCTTCTGGAAATGAAAGGCTGATGCAGTCATCAACTCAGCTGCAGTGGCTGCCTGCACAAGACCAGCATAAGACTGGGCCTGTCAGGGCTGGAGAGATGGTTCTGCAGTTAAGAGCACTCAGTGTTCTTGCAGAAGACCTGGGCTCAATTCCCAGCATCCCCATGGTAGCTAACCACCATTCATAACTCCAATTCCAGGGGATTCAATGCCATTTTCCGCCCTCCATGGGCATTATAATGCACATACTGTCAAACACACACACACACACACACACACACACACACACGACAAAAGACTGGGCCTATCAACATTGTGTCACAGTGAAGGAGGAACTTGTAAGGCCACACCCATTCAAGAGGTGCTATAGGCAGTTAAAGGTCACAAATAACCCCTCAAGTAAATAATAATCCCCCACCCATGTTGATGCAGGCACCCTAATTAAATGTAGTGGGCCACACACAAAGACACGAAAATAGAAAGTGGACTTGGGAAGAAGGCATTTGATGTTCTAGGGAGGGAATAAGAATAATGCAGAAGGTACTGTTTGAAGTTTTATGTGTGACATTGGAAAAGAACTTCTTTAAAAGTCTTATTTCACTTTTTTTTTCCTCGTGCTGGGATTGAACAGGGTCTCCTGTATGGTAGATATATGTTCTACCTCTGAATTACATGCCAGTCTTACCTCACTTTTAAAAATGCACATTCTGGTCAGGGTTATGCTTGTAATCCCAGCACCGGGAGGCTGAGGCGCGAGGACTGTCAGTTGTAGGCCAGCTTGGGTTAAACAGACCTAATCTGAAAACAGCGAACAAAATCGTTCAAAGCCAACATTTCTGTTGAGGCTGGAGGTGTACCTCGTAGCACAGCATTTATTTGCCTGGCATGTACAGGGTTATATGGATAAAAATGCACATTTGTGCCTGACAAAGATATCTGCAGTTTATTTTTTTAAGCCCTACAACACGACAGTAAAAAAAAGTCCAATTAAAAATGAGAAAGATTTGCACTGTCATTTCACCAAGTGAGATATGTGAATTTAACCATTGTGATCCCAGGTATTAATATTTGCCTAAGAAAAGAAAGTGCATGTTCACAAAAGATTTATACAGGAATGCTCATAGCATTTTTACCTGAAATACAGGCTCAGTATCCTTCATCTAAATGCTTAGGATCAGACATAACTTGGATTTTTGAACTTTGGGGAATAATTTTGAAGTATTCACACACACACACACACACACACACACACACACACACACACACACACACACCTCATAGGGATAAAACCCCAGATTTTTCAACATGATTTTCCTTTGTTTCATGTATACCTAATCCACAAAGCTTGAAAGTTATTTTATATAGTAGTTTTAGTCTGCCTGCATTTGACTTTGTTCTGTACTGGGAAGCCACGCGTATAACTCTGTTTACCTGTGGTCTCATGTCAGTGCTCGAAACATTTCAGGTTCAGATTTTGCATGGTGGGACTGGAGATACTCAATCTGTACTTCAAAACTCTGGAAATAACCCGAATCTGGATCACTTTGTAGGATGTATAAAGAAATATATATATATCCATGTAATAATGGTTCAGCAGTAAAATGAACAAACTATATGCAACATTATGGATCATTTTCAAAATAATTATGTGAAGAGATAGAAGTACAAGAGAGTGCATATGATTTCATTAACATTTTTTTGGAGAGTCACCTGCGTACACCTACAGTGACAGAAAGTAGATAGTGGTTCTACAGCACGGAAAATGGCAGAAATACAAAGAAGGACTACTTTGATGAATGCTGGAAATTTTCATCCTGACTGTAACAATGATTTCACAAACGTATACAAGCCCAACCTCATCAAATTCTACACTTTAAACATGTGCAGTTTATTGTATGTGGATTATGTCAATACAGCTGATAAAAACTAGTTTATTCTACCTTAGGAATCATATAAAAGATGAACTAATAATATCTCTTATTGTATAGGGCCTCAGAGTGAAAATCCAAGATCAAAAAAGCCATTGGAACAGTTAAAGCAATGGCAGAAAATTCCCTGATTCAATTTTAATTACAATCTATGATTATAGTATGAAAAATTAATTTTACAGCACTGGGGAAAAGGCTTAGTGATTAAGACCAGTGGCTGCTCTTGCAGAGGACCTGGATTCAATTCCCAGCACCCATATGGTGGCTAACAACCGTCTATAACTCCAGTTCCAGTGGAGATCTGATACCCACTTCTGGCCTCCACAGGCATTGCATGCACAGGTACATTTATACACATGTAGTCAAAACGCTCATCTGCATAAAAATTGAAAAAGTTTTAAATTTAATTTTATATGTATTCTAGAGCATATAATACATTGAAAATCAGTTTGGAGAAATACTGTCAGAAGGAATTATGTATTTTTTTAGTATTTTATGAATGTACTGCCTGTAAGTGCACCACGTTGTGCAATGCCAGCGGAGGTCAGAAGAGGGTGTTGGATCCCCTAGAACTGGAGTTATGGATGTTAGCCCCCATGTGGGTGCTGGGAATCGAACCCAGGTCCTCTGCAAGAGCAGTAAGTGCTTTTAACCACTGAGCCATCTCTCCAGTCCCACAAATAATTATATTTTAAAACCTGTGAAATTTAAAAATTTAAATTTCACAGGTCACAGATTGCACACACAGCTCCAAAAGGAATTTTAGGTAACTGATTCTTTTCTGTGTGCCTAGATTTTGAGCATTGGGTTAAACATAATAAGGTAAATCTGATACGTGCCTTGCTTTCTAATTGTTTACAGTTTATTGGGGGAAAACGCCAGGTTTCTAATCAACTCAGAAAATGGATATTGGTCATTGGAGCTGGGACTTGGTGAATGAGAGTGTAAAGAGAAAGGAGAGCCTGCTTCCTACTCAGGAAGATGGAGCTGAAGCTACTTGGGGAAGACATTGTGTGGAGGATGTAGAATTTGGGAAAGAAATACTATTTGGGATATTAACTGTCTTCACTTTTCAAGTCCGTTCTTTGGACTTGAAACTATTGCCTTTTACATTCATTTGAAACAAGATTTGTGTATTCTGAGTGAAAGAATGGTTTGGTATATTTACTCGTTTCGATGTAAATTTACATCGTTATGACTGTATGTGGACATTTTTGCTTTGTAAATCCTTTAGGCTATATTTATCTTCTTTTGTCCCTGTTCTGGTTTTCTGGCTTCTGCTGTAATTCCCTGAAGATGGTTTTGGAAATTTTCACTGTGTGAGGCAGTTCACCAGCCTTCGACCTGTAAGTGTTCTGTGCTTGGTCTGCTACTTCACTGGGTCTTTTTTTGTTC